ATCTTGCGAATTCTAAATAAATTTTGATAATTATTTTTGCAATTAGTATGATAATTTGTATTTCCACGTTGATCCCATGCTAATATTGTCATATATAATCTTAAATGATATTATATCCGTTTTTACATTTCATGTAATGTACCTTAATTATTGGCGTCTTAAGGATTATTTCGCAGAGTGGATCTGACCCCTTAAAAAATGTATTCTTAGACATGTCTTTGCAAAACTTTATTTGGATCCTATGGTGGACACCAGTCACCAGACAATTCTAGGCTGGCCATGGCCAAACCGGCCCTCCTTGGATACGTCAATAAGCATATTTATTTATTTTTTTTCGAATATAGTGGATTCTTCACAATACTATAATTCATAGTTTTATAATTCTGTCTCTAGTAAACCACGCGTGTGATATAAAATACCACTCATCTTCCCTTACAATTATATTAACATTTCTAAGATGTAAATATTTCCGATGAGATTATGACAATAAACTCAACTTTAGAAATAAACTAGTTACTTATACGAATGTAATCAATTGCAACAGATTAATCTCATTTATTGCAATAAATAGACGTTTTAATGGCGTTATGAAAACTAAATTAACTTCAGTTTATTGTTTTGTCATAAATAGGCAATTAATGTCATTCAAACATGAAATAATGTTATTTGTACGCAAACAATAGCCGAGTAACATAAAACCAACGTTACAGGAGCGTTATAATAGAAGCAACACTATTAACCGACTTAGTTTAAAAAGAAGATGCATTGTTCTGTAAAACGCTAGTTTCGGCACGAAGCCCTCTACGTCAGAGAAATAACTTCGAAACGTTTTAAATACGTTACATGTTATGCAATAACAAACTTTAATACCACCTATATAAGGTCCACACAAAGTGCTACGTGGAAAAATGTAAAAGAATAACGAGATCCCGAAAAACGTACCTTCACGGCGTCGTAATAACAATTAAATTTCCTTGTTTGCATTAAGATTTTTGTCCCGAATGAAAGGCTAGTATGACGCAGTTATTTATAAGGAGTGTATGTTACCGTGCACTGTTTATGTAGAATTAAATATGGTTTAATAGTTTACTAAGAACGGGTTAGCTCGCGAAAATTAGTTCGTGTAATTTCACTCTTAAATGCCGCGGTTATTTTAACAATCTCGTGTTTTTTGTATCCTAAAGGTCAAAAAGGCACAGAAAAAAGACAAAAGGTGCAGGCACAGAAAATCTAGATCTGGAGTATGGAAATATTCTTGTACGAAACTGGCAAATAAACGATTATCTCTGTTATGAGCTTTTAGATTGGTGTACAGACAAAAGTTCCATCGTGTTTGGTGTGATTATTAATGTGTATTTAAAAATTATTTAAAATTAACATTTCTTTAAGAAAATGTGTGTGTAATAATACATATAAAGTTGTTGTGTTGTATACGCATACATGTATACATGTTATTGTTATATGCATGTTCCATGTTTTTATATATTTTGTAGTAAGCATAATGTATAACATAACAGACAAACCTCTATGGTTTTTTGTATGTTTATTTGTTAATTTAATTTATATGATGAAAAAAATAAAATGACAGTTATATTACCAAGTATCTACCTATTTGTTTCGCATATTACATCTATTAATAAATTGTGTACACATTATATTTATTATTAATTAGTATTAACTAAAACATATATCAAGTTTCGTTTCCAGGAAATATTCTACAAACGTTAGAAATTTTTTTTTTTGCTACATTTTACTTCTATTAGATAGAATAAAAACATCACGAATTACAGTTGCTGATGTCATGACCGTTCCTTACAGAGACGGTTTATATTCGATGTTTATTAACAGCTGAAAATATGATGATTATAATAGAATGTCAATAGTGACCGATTACGCACTTGCATACAACCTAAACTGGTTAAATTGTTCATAATATTATTTCCATATAATCATCATCATCATCTTAGCTATTACCCGTCCACTGCTCAAATAGGCCTCCCCATAGACTGATATATATTATATTTTCATATAATATTATAAACTCATTATTACAACCAATATACAATATAAATAATAAATAAATAAAATAAAAATAAATATTACTAAAAAAAATAAGAAATTTCACAAAATTCGCACAGTAATAAGATATAACCGATTCAGGGCAGTGAACCCATCGAAAAAGCACTACAAGTATTTTATTAAAATTTACTTTAATTAATAATTTTAATTTTTACTTCATCACTAAGCTGCAGTTCGCTCGATAAGAAATCTCAGTTATCGTTTTAAACTGTTTCCATTGGATGTTTTACAGCCTACTTGAGTATTCAAATCCAGTCTGGCGGGCACCTCCAGTGTGGGGTATCGTGCAACAATTAATTACCGCACAGGCTTCAAACATAGCAGGACTGCTGTCCAAGTGCAGCGAAACTATAATTATAAGGACGATGAGAATTATCGTTTCGCTTCGACGCCAGTGAATAACAGCCTTAATCTAGACTGTCACTTTTAATCTTTGATACATAAGATAATACTAGCGTATGTTTCCGATTTAGGTCGCGTGGTACTTTTTTGACACAACTACTTAAAAAACTGTTATGCTTCTACATAAACTCCTATATTATGAAGATTCCAAATATCTAACATATATTTAACCGTTAAAAATATAAATTGATTATATATATCTATATATGATAATATAGATCGCATAAATAAATATACAAAAAAATGCTTTATTTTCATTTGAAAGTAACATATTACTCCGCCTAGAGAAATACCTGATCATTGCTAAAACTTGACCAGCAGAACAACCAATAAATGTTATTAGGGTTCCGTAGCTATGTATCTTGATGTTTATATATTATTAAAATACATGAGCATCCAAGTTTAAAACAAAACAGGCTGAATTATGTTAATCGACAACTTGCAATTTCCCATATTTTTTTTTCATATACCCGTAGTTATAACATTAAAAACATAAAACCATGATGTGATTAAATAAAATACACCTACCTCTTTATAACAATTATAATAGCGTATAATTTTAATCATAAATAATGGTATTTATCAATTTACTTGAAACCGTTTAATAATATAAATAATAGGAACATGTTATAAATAGTAATTAGATACACATTCATTACTATAATAGTTAATAACGATTATATATATGTATTATTATATTATACCTAATAACTATCATAATACTAAACGTGATGGTGAACGCACCTACGATCTTAAAGTGACTGACCGACGAACTAACTCGTAATAATGCATACTATTTACATACAAGAGACAAAGAGGATATAATTATAGGCATGTCATCACATTATACCTACAAGTTCAACGAGAATTTTGCAATTATGCATTCTGAGCGGTAGAAAGCTTAATAAATATTGCAGAATATGTGAAATTTTGTTTTTATAGCAGTCTCGAAGAGATATCTTAATATAAAAATATAAAGTATAATTATAAATATATAAAAATAAAATATATAAAAATAACAGAAAATATAGAGACGAAATAAGTGTTTATAAATATCATTAAATGAAATATGATTTTATAAGTAGAATGTTCGACAATATTTAAAAGTAATTTTAGAGTATAAATTATTTTTAAGTTAAGAATGAATTTCGTCAATATTTTAATTAGATAAACGATTTATTCACAATTTATAAACTAACCAGCCGTTCCTGTATATATATTCTTATTTTAGATATTAATATATTTAATAATATAAAAAATATAATTAAAAAAGTCATGCACGCGTGGAGAGCAAGCTTTAGTCTGTCGTTTCCGAGGGCTTGACCGAGCGACCAACTTGTAATAATGCTGCATTTTTACAGACTACGTACCTACGATCGGGGCAAATTATAGAGGTAGGTTAAGAAGTGCATTTAGTAAAAGCGAGATATTAAAATGGGAAAGCGTTTTATAAAAATAATTTGAGTAAGTACATACTAGCGCACAATAAGTTTAATTCGATACTATAGCTTTTTGAAGACCTATGAGTGTGTTCGAACATAATATTGGAACACTTTTTTTTATTCTATATCCAAGTCTATTTTTTTACCCCAACAATAAATAATAAAAGTACAAAATTGTCAGTAAACATTTATAAACCGTGTAAAGGCATAAACGTCTAAACAACCGTCCAGCAATTGAGAAATTGCAGTAAGGTAAACCATAGAATCGACGTTAACCGATGGTTTCCGATGCAACGCGTAATGACTGATTGTGAACGGGTCACGGCATTCCGAGTAATGCTGACGTATATAGTAACAATGACCTTTGTTTCTGTGTTCATTTCTAGTCTCATATAGGAAATAGAACAAAAAGAGACTTGCAGAAATTAAGCGTAGAACAAAATAACACATTGATATTTTCAACTGATTTTAAAAAAGTAGATAAATTCGGTTGTTCTTTTTTTGTTTGTTACCTCATAACTCCGTCATTTATAAACCGATTTGGAAAATTCTGTTTTATCTGAAAGGATGTACTTATAGATTGGTCCCATAGAAATTTTATCAAAATCGATTCACTAGTTTAGTTTTTAAATCAAAATAACTGGTTTTGCTATAATTGAAGTCGGTTTTTTCGTGGCACACATCTTGATTATTTTATTATTATAGTTATCATTAAGAAATATACCTGTACTAGTAATAGTTACGCTTATTTATACTTACACTAGATTTCTTACAGGACAGGCAGATAAATTATAAAAAAATATTACAAATACATATAAATAATAGTTAATAATATTTTACACAATTATTTTGTATCTACTCTACTTATGAGTACAGAACTGTACTTAAAATTAATTACTTAGAACATTCAGAAATCGATTGCAATATAAAAAATATATATATATATAAAATATTTCAATACTGTAGTTTTATATCATCACACACTAATCATATCGACAATTAAAAAATTTAATATATTTATAAATTAAGTATATTTAATTATTATAATTCTAATTGTATTAACTCTTCTATTTACAGATGCGTTTGAAGTACGCCAATGTTCTCTAATGGAGTTCACATAAAAAAGAAAGTACACACACATAGAAGGTAGCCGGGATTTATATTTATCACTTCACAGCTGCACACCTATGATCGATCTTTATCCAAGATGGCCGACGGCGCGCCGCACAACCTGGCGGGAAACAAGCGCGGGCGCACCTCCTACATAGCGGATCATCTTCGACGTTATAATTTCAAAAATTGATTATAGAATAGAATACACAATTATTTAAAAATTTTCTACTGACACAACAAACGTGCAATCTCACAGACGGTGTGCGTTGTACTAAAAATTAAAAAAGCATTCTTTAAACGTATTCAAAACTTGAAAACCATAAAACATATCTCCCCCATTATTAGTTTATGGCTTGCGACTGTTACCAAGCTATTATGCTGATATTTCTGTGTGTATTGATGTTTGTTTTTATTGTGTGCGGTGGACGAACGAGCCAATTTAGGGTACCATTACAAAATGCTTCTATTGAGCAACTAAACTAAACATCCCGTTACGTACCTTTTTATTATACACATTTCACTTGCCTTTGTGCGGTGATTACAAAAATGTTATTGTTTTATTGCGTACCTACTGTTATTCATAGTTATTTTTTACTAGTCGTACTCAAAACGTCCTTCGCGCGACGGTTTTTTTATACCATAGTATTGAGGCATTTTAGAGGTTTCAAAAAACAACCGATATGTCGAAACAGATATTGAGTTGTTACCATGCCAGTTTTCATCAAAGTCCGTCTAGTGGTTTTTATGTAACTTATACACAAATATGATACGTGTAAAATATATTATGGAAACAAAATAAAAATTTATGATATCATGACATAGTGTTTATTTTTTATTTTATTTAGTATTCTAAATTTATAAATAAATTTTAATACATGTAAATAGAACCACTATCACTATAATAAATATATTTATATTTACTATGGAAGCGCGCCTACATTTTAAAAATAAACCAGTACAATCTCACTTGTATTAAATGTATTGTTATACCAATCAATATCATATATATTCAATGACATGACATTACATACTGTTGTTATATTGATATGCATATTATTAGTATTTGTTTGAATTCAATTATAATTATATAATAATTTTGAATTGTGCTCCATAAAAAAACTACTTCTTTTGTGGCAAATCCAGTCATTCTAATTTCAAAACTAAATTACGATCTGTTTTTTTTTCTTTTCAGATAAAAAGATTTTTTTATATAGGCTTATATAACTCACGAAGTTATGAGATAACCAGCATAAAAAAAATACAACCAAATTGAGAACCTTCGTCTTTTTGAAGTCGGTTAAAAAGGTAAGTAGAGCCACCATCAATACGATGAACAGTCTCACGGATGCGCGCCCGCATTCTATAGCTTGGTAGACTCATAGTACGAGTAGAGCGTCAAGTCAGTACAATCACAAAAATATACCATTTTCACGATTACTTACTGAACATTTTGAACTACCACTTCAATATCAGGTATATTCAACATTTCGATATCGCATCAGTGTTTCGTCATATTCATACAAATATTAATTTAATTACTGTTTTATTTTTAATTAAATAATTATTTTAAAATTTAACAAAACCCACTGTGTCTACGTTAAATAAACTCGCATGCTACAAGTTGTTAAAGTCATAGTAGACGAGTCAGTAAAACCATTTTGTATAAAATGTTCACGACAACTGAATATGAACAACCAGTTTAATGTCATGTATATTCAACATTTTAATATTACAATGCTATCATGTTTATAAATAATATATTTAATTAATTAAACGTAATTAACTGAGTAAACAAGTTTATATATTTTTTTAAATAGAGTGAAGACTTTATTGCATGTAAGTAGGTACTTATGATAGCGTAAAAGTACAAGAAAGTAATAATATTTGTGTAAAATAAGTGACAGTTTTTTTTTTCTTAAACATACACGTAAGCATGTTAAGGGGTCGATCATCCTAAAAGTAGCAGAATTGTAATGTTAATAATTATTTATCTCAGAGTATTATTTCGGATTAATGTAGTAACTATTAAAAAATAGAAGCATGCAATATACATGCTCTATAACTAAGAAACCGTTATTTATGTAAACAACTTTACATGACTACTCCGTAATCGTCATCAAGAGTCACCTACATCCACTGTATGCATGTAATTTGAGATTGTAACTTCATCTAGTGGACATCGTTCTATATACTACGTAATGAGTGTAAGAACCTTAAGTGTTGCATAATGATATAAATATCAATGAAATAATTAAAATAATAGATTAAAAATAAAAAAGTAAGTTGCAATTATTATATTTTTAATTGACTTCAAGAAAGAGGTTATCAATTCGGTTGCATTGTTTATGCTTGTTACCTTTTTACTCTCGTTGTAGTTGTAAACTGATTTGAAAAATACTTTCTTTTACCAGAGGGAGACTTTGTACAAAAGTCGATTACTTGGGTACCTCTGTCCCATTCGTGTTTCTACCGTGAAGCAGTTGTGTTTGCATGGCTGTGTTTCGGTTTGAAGGGTGGGATATGGCGTGAATTTACAGGGTACAGAGGAATAACACCTGAGTCCTTAGGAATGGTAACGCATGGGGGGGTATCATGGGCGAAACAGAATACTCTGTTATGTCCATGGTACTGCTCATGTCTATAGGCGACGGTTACCACTTTCCATCAGGTGGGCCGTCAGCTTATTTGCCATTCTAAGTTGTATAAAAAAATATATATACTTACAGATTTGCTCATAGATTTTTTAAATCGAATTTATTTCAAAATCGAATCAGTAGTTTAGTTTTTATGAATGAAAATCACAGATTTTGGCAAAATTAAAGTTTTTTATACTAAATAGTTATAAATACGGATTTATCCTCTACATTTGTTTGCGATTGTAATATACTTAGTACGTAAGGTCTCTTAATAATAAAAATAAAACTAAGAAAATCAAGTATTAACTCCAGAACATTTTACAAGTAAGCCACTAGGTAGTGATTACAATATCCCATTTCCCTTTAATAAAGGTGCATTTAAAACGTTTTGAGCCCGAAGCGAAATTGAGTCGCCAATTTTGGAACTGGTTTAGAAATTATAGGGTCAGCCCTACGTCGGTACGCCGTACGTACGAGATTAGACCATGTTTATAAACGTAAGCGAAGTAACAAATCCACTATAAAAATATCTTAAATAATTTAATACGTTTTGTATGTAAAGTTGTTTAAAAATTTATAAATCTTTTATTTATTTTTATTTGTGAACTAGACCCAACACGACTTAACACCTTTTTTTTTTTTAATAAAATATAGCCCATACTACTTGCTGATAGGACCTTACTGTCGGTAAAATAATTTTTAAAATCGGTTTAGTATTTCTTCAGTTCACCCATTACAAATAATTAAATAAATCCCTCTTGTTTATATAATAGTTTAAATAATATTCCTATTAAAGGTAAATGTAACATATTTTTCACTACACAAATGTTGAGATTTATTTTAATTATAAATTAAATATAACTAAATATAAACATCGGCCATTTTTACTTTGGAATTGGTAAAAACTAAAGAGAGACCACTGCATTCTATACTCAACAAAGATCCCATACTCCTATCGATTTAAGTTACTTTCTTTAATCTTATAAGTAAATTCAGATAAAATTTACTTAGATATTTTATTAAAAATAAAAATAACAATTTTTGAAACACAACGGTGAAATAAATAGAGATGACTTATTCAAAATTAACAATAGAAGGCAGTTATATTTTTTTGACTTGCTGGTTGTTGGAATAAATAAATACTATATATATTTACTTTTTATATAGTTTCTAATAATTATTATATACTTTAAGTTCCTAGTGTAATTTTATATATGTGAAAATCTGATTATTTTATCTCTCCTAAGTCTAATGGTTCGATCAAATGTCACATAAGTTGACATACTGATATGTAGAATTAGGCATGCATAGACTGCATTTATACAATTAATTAATATATCACGGTCACGCGAATGAAGTCGCGGGCACAGCTAGTAATTATTATAAGTTAATAATGAACGCGTAATTGTCTTTAAGTACTTGAAATGGTCTTTAAATTATGAAGGCACACATAGAATAACATAGATTAATAACTATCTAGATGGAGCATTTCTCTACAAACGTTTCACCAAAACTAGTCAAACTTTTTTATTTTTGTGTAAGTGAATTTGTATCATAGATCTCACATAGAGATACGTAATTCGATTGCGTGTGTAAAAAGTGATAACAAAAATTGAATACCGAAATTGGTGCATTTCGGTTCCTTTAATTAAATAAAAATACAAGCCAACAGTTGGCTGATAGGGACGTCTTTGCTACTCAATACCCCATCTGGTTGTATGTTATCTAAGATAAGTACCTAATACCTAGTAAGCAATTGGCAATTACAAAATAGTCGAAGCTACATTTACCGTAGCGGGCTCTTTAGTGGGTAGGTGCGCATGTCGAGCTACTAGAGGGTTTTAATCAAGAAATAATGTGTTGCAATGTAAATTGTAAACGCAATTTAAGTAATTATAGTGTGATTATGTTTCTTATGGCACGATATTATTATAACTCGACTGCTTAATGGGAGATTTTAAATGGAGACAAGACAAATGTTGAACATGACGTTTACCGTAGAACGTGCGATATAATGAAATATATCGTAAAATATTAAATACATAAGTTTACTGGCTAAAATAGTGATTTTATAGAACACATTTAAGATACTTTTCATCTAAAAATAGTCTGGGCATATTTCATGTCTCCTCTATCATAGTTTTCAGATCTCTGTGGAAACTACCGAGGTTTAATTCCTAGTGAATTTGCCTCGATGAGGCAACTGGCCCGACCCCATCCTCGGCATTTCATCGTTGACTGGTGTCCCGCCATTGTCTATAACAAGCTTAGGCAGGTGCTATCGAAAAAATGTGTTAATCGAAAAAAAAAACATGATGCGTTTTTGGTTAGAGACACTAATTTGACTCTTTCTACGTTCAGAGTAACAGTGGTTTAGTTGATTACAGTTATTATTCAAGTAACTAGACAGGTACACTATATAGCATTTTTAATATAAACACAGCATTTGAGAGCTTGTTCAAAATGAAGCTGCTTGTTATGGTAATTTCTGTATGTAAGTAGAGCTTGCACTGCGATAATTTCAAGAGCAATGTAATGTGAATACGAAGTAGCGAATCATTGGTCTATTTATAACGGATATTATAGAGTAGCTATTATATTCTAATTTTGCTTTTAATATCGTAAGTAGGTATTACTAGTATTCTCCATACCTTATCAAAAATAAATTGAAAAGCATCCGCCTAATTGTCTAGCGCCACCGTTATTAGTAGCATAATTTTTATGTGTAAATTCGTCTTATATTGACGAAATATTTTCTTAAAACATCTATAAATTATATATATTATAAAAAATATTAACTTAAATATAAAAGAGCTTCTTTATTACATTAATCTTTATACAGATTTATTTATAAATAAAAATCTATTGCCGAAAGTATGTAAACTCATCACTTCAGAATGGTTACATATATTTGACTAATTCTTTTTTATTGTATTTATAATTGTCAAGACAAAAGAAGAAAGAAGAAGAAGTTTGTATGATAGAAAATGTATGAAAAATTGTATGGCTAGTAAGTGGATAAATTTCGATTTAGATTTTTATTATTTAATTATATTTTACTACTTTTATATATTACACAAATATACGCTTCAATCTACAGTTGTTTCTACCACGGTTATATAAAAATATTATAAAATCCACTATAATTGCAATCAAGTACAATACTGATTTTTCTTAAAACAAACATGTCCCGAATATAATGATATTTATTGATGATATATTAAAGTATTCTTTTTTTACTATTTTTTTTAATTTTAAAATTTTGTTTCACATGTCTGCTCTGTTAGTTGCAACTCTGTGTGGGACAAGCCCGAACTTCTCATACTGGCCACGTCCAACGCGTCCTTGTATTGTTTCGCGGGCCATGTTGCGTGAACCCCGAGTGAAATATGGCCGACAGTTCGACTACTTATTTTTGTTTTATTTTTTTAGGCCGTGTTACTTAATTTTATCAAGTCGCATGAGTTATGAGAATCGGGACCACACGCGTTGAGTTAATTACGCGGTAGTAATGTCCCACGGCTCATAGATTCCGATATGCGTACGCCTTATAGAATTCTTATCCGAACACTCTCTCTTACAAGATAAATAAATTAATTAGGTGAATCTTATTCGAATTGTTAGACTCGGTGAGAATATTAAAAATTTAAATAAAAAAATATATAGGTATAGGAGCACGAGTCACGATTATAATTCGTAATGGAGTAGTCAAAAACATTTTTCGACTGTTGCTGTTTTGGTGAGCGTAAAACTCGAAATGTTTGCATTTCACCGAGCATATTAGAATTCAACATAGCAAGAGGCAAGCCTACCGCCGTCACTCGGCTTAACAAACATATACAGCTCGAAATTCTCTACTATACAATCGCTAGATGATATAATATTATACTAATGGTATAGTGTGGCGTGTAGCAATAAAACTAATTAGAATTTGCATTACAAGATAGGTAGAGTACACTGTCTATGGAAACAAATAGGCGTTTATGCTAATAGGGATTTTACGACTCCATCGATAAATCTTATGGGCAATTATTCTCGTATCTATTTATCTATTATTAGTTTTCCGACATATTGGACGCTGAGTAATTTATTGGAAGAATCAGAACTTTAGTAATATGATAATTAATTTTGTAAGCAATTCAACTGCGCGGGCGCCGTGACTATCGCCCAATGACGTAGAATGCTTTCATTTTAAGATGGACTGTAGCATAATCGAGTGGCTATTTGTCGAGTTGTGGCCAGTGGCACTCCTCAAGTTAATAATAATGCGCCCAAACTAGACCGGGGCATTGACCCAGGCAGCGCGGGCGCTCGCTCCCGGCCCAACGAGAGCGCTAAAATGTTACTATGACCATAAAACTAAACGAGCCAGCTGATACCTTTGATTGAGTTTCGTGCGCCCGTGCCCAACATTAGCGCCGACACTCCCTCAAAATCACGTTCAGTTATTGTTGATCTGATTATGATCTTATTGCCAAACTGGTTTTGCTATGTGTCAATTCAATATACAGGTGTGAGATCAATGCAAATCTAGTTCTCATCACGTATTCTATATACGTTCTGCATAGTTATATAATAAACCTTTTATTTTTTATTTGATTTGAATATCGTTGAAAATAATTACAAAAGGAAAGATTTTAACTTTATACATAGGTATATCTAAATTAGGTAGTTCAGTATCTATATTTTTTTAATTGTAATGATATATCTAATATAGCAAATACTTATCAAAACACAAAATTAAAATTTTTGTTCGTCTGTCAGTGTTAAAATTACATAATAATTATTATAACATGATCAAATTCACAGATATAGCCGGTAACATAATATTATACAGTAATAAAGACGACTATTATTTAAATAAAATCAATTTAATTAAACACATATATTTATATTAAGTATTTAAATTAAATTTTTATGACTTGTCACTATGTAGGAATGAAATGTAATATAATATGGTTATAAATAAATATGTTTAATTACATTAAGAATGCTAGCATGATTTTATGTTTATTTTAATATCAAGAGTGATTTTTAATGTTTATTAAATTGAGTTCTTAATTCGGCGGCTATTTCTTACAAATTTGATGACTGTAATAAGTTATGAATGGCACTCAAATCTGTCGACGCTAATAAGGTGTTAACAAGGGTCGTTCGTTTTATGTGCTTTTTATTGACACTTGAGTCGACTCGGTGGTCGTCATACCTACCTGTTTTGTTACGAACATTCTCATTGGTATCTTATGAGACTTGGGAATTTGTTACGAAATCTTTTCGTCAACTGCAGCAACATTTTAGAGCTTTTTCTTGTAGTGAGTAACTATGCGGATTTAAGATGTTTTGTATGTTTTTAATTTATGACTAAATTAATTTCCTTTTATATTATTATTATTAAACATATTTTATAATTTTTTAATATTATTATTTTTTTTTTTATCAAAAATAAATGTTAAACCGTGACGAACAAATTTTATGTTATGTACTTATTGAAGAGCCTAACTTTTGTATTAGCATTTAAGTCACTAACCTGCTATGGCCATCCAGGGGTAGAAGGTGTGGTTGGTGGGCTGATGCTGCACTGGCTGTGCTGCTGCTGCCGCTGCTCCTGGGAGTGCGCACTGGTTACCCCATGGGAGGGCTCTTCCTGGACTCGAGGATTCGCTGTACCGGGCTTCTGGAGTGCACGCCGCTGGTCTTACCAGCGCCCCCAGCCCTGAACCCCACTCTTTGGCTCCATATCCGTTCTGTTGTTCACCGGCCGCTTTAGAACAATCCGCCTTGGCATACTGCTGCTCTCCAGCGTACAGTTTACAAGCTGCCGCCACTGAGGCGTCATAAGGCGAGTCCTGGGGCCGGGGCTGGTGCAATGCGTGAGGCTGAGCATACGTCAGACCCAACGGAAACCCTCGATACTGATCACCGCCGCCACCGCCCTGGTGCACACCGTGGGCCCCATAGAAACCACCCTGCTCGAAATAGGAGTTCATTTTGACCGTTCACCGTTCACAAACGTCACTCAGTTAGACAACACTTATGTCATCGCGGCCCCACGCGCCGTGATAACGCGACCTCCGCCAATGTCACTCCGTATAGCAGACAATGAAATTTAATTTTATTAATTTTATTGCCTCTTAAACGTCACTCGAGCGTCATAATGGGCTCCGGTGGCGATAAAGGCCAGTTGACGTGTGTTTACTTTTTACGATTATTTTACGACTGTGGAGCGCGTGCCGCGGGTTTTACGAGTTTCTAAGAGGCTCCGTCTACGGCGCCGGCCCGTCTCAATCAGCTGTGTAACGTGGTAGGTGATGGAGGGATTGTTTTTAATTTCCAGCGACAGGACGTGCTACGGCTGATGTCGCGAGCGAAGTTTGTGATCGCGTGTGGCGGGAGCGCGCGGCTGTATGCCGTATACGACCGGCGCGGATCGGCTCACGCAGTCTACTGTCACGCGCGCCGCCCCGCGCACTGCCTGCGATCGCAACACGGCCGATTGTTCCGTCCCCTTTTCGCTAATGACTATTAAATATTATCAGTTACGCTCTCTTTTCCCTTTCTTATCACTCCTCCTGAAGCACGTGGTTCGAGCTTATTAGCAATGAAAACTATTACGCCTCCTCAAACTTGCACTGTTCCAATTAAACCGAACCTATGCTCATTTGCAACTTATAAAGTAAAATTGCACTTCGAAAGCCCAATAGAATGTAAACAATAATTCAAGTACAACAGTAGTTAACAGATAATGCAACTTTTATGTGACTGAGTCCAGTAGCATTAACAATAAGCATAATAAGTACCCAACAAAAGACCGATAATGACTTTACTACTGAAAAGTGAGGCCGCAAAGTCGTAAACTCATAAACGTACAATTAGTGAAACGGGCGAGTAAAGAAAAGATTTTACAACCACTCCTCGACCGGGCCACAATGAGCGCGCAATATCGTAACAAGGTGCTGAATAGAGTGAGAAGTCGTAAAGATGATTATTATTTCTTCTACTACCTGTTTTTACGAGTGTTGTTGCCATCGCGTTCGCTCGTGCGCGATTTGATCGCGAGCGAGCGAGAGGGAGCGTTGTCAGTGTAACATTTGATGGAGAGTCGGTGCAGTGTGTATCGTGTTGTCCTGCTCTGGCGCGGCGTAGCGCGTGCAGTGAAGGCGCACTATCGAAGGGTAAACAATAGCGCATTATCGCCGAGCACTCAGTTGCCGCGACCAAATGAAGTCATCAAAGCAATGAATGGCCCCTGCCGCAGCGGCCTACCAAGAGACACGCTCGTATTTTTATTGCAGTCACCTCTCTATACAAATATTTGCCGATAAAGGACGGGTTGCGAGGGGTTTTTTTCGAAGGCACCTACAATAATTGGTCAATTTAGTTCTATAGAAATACCGGTAGCTACTTAAGTCCTAGAAAAGATGTTGCTACTTAATAGCATCTTCATTTTAATATTGTCAAGTAGGTAGCTACGTAATTAGATGTCAGACTGTAGAGTAAAAAATATGTAAATAAATAAGATAAATTTTAGTCTTTGTACTCAAAGATACTTATTAAAATAAATTAGTTACTTGATTACCTAGCATCAACAACTATTTTTAACTACTTATATTTTTTTTAATAATTTATATTACTAATTATTCATACGAAATATTACCTAATATAAATAGATACCTATCTCAACCTGATGTATCTACCACTGATAATGAAAACAAATAGTTCCTTTGATAACCTAGCAAGATTTAAAACTTATTAATGTTATATTATTTGTTTAATTAGTATTTATTTATAAGAAAAAAATTGCCCGATATAAAGAGCTATCTCTACCTGACTCTATCACTTGTAGAACTCGTAGCCTCGTAGCGCTACGAGTAGTAGAACCTATACGAAATACGATAAGTACATTCTAAAATAGGCTCTACCATACAAAATATGGTGCATTTTAAATACCGGGGGGAACGGGCTGTTACTAATGGGGTCTAACTGCCCCACTGCTAGCAATATACACAGGGTATATTGCTAGCAATGGGGCTCGACCTTCACGCGGTTCCCCTGGAAACCATCGTGGTTAATTCTTGTTGAATTCATCAGAATGGGCTAACTGACCTGCTTTCATCTTCGCCTATCATTTCATTCCACCCTGCCAGCGTAAACCGATAGCACAGGCGGGGTTACTATTCTGTTATTGTACATTTAATAAAAAAAAAACATATCAAATACCTACATATTTGTCTACGTTATTACCTACACTACAATGTACACATTGGTTTAAAAAAAAAGTATTTACTCAGAAACCTTGTTTTTCACAAATACGTTATAACAATATTTAAATAATTCGTATTGAATAACATTTTTGTTCTACTTGGATAGAATACAGATAAAACAAAACAAAAGATTTTGTCAACCTCGATTGTACCTAACGGACTAATTTTTTTGCTGTTTGTAATAATGAGGACAAAGTTTGTATGAAAAAAAAATATTGAAAAATCGTATCTGTTCTTCACCAGGGCAGGCAGCTTGTACAGTGCTATATATAAGGCATATTATTATATAGATTACAGTCTTGTTTTAAATAAACCTCCGTGTTGTGACAAAACAAGACTGCAAGCTGTTATCAGTTCCTTTTATTCCCAGGATGTCGTTTAACTACAGAGGCAAACCAATACAAGGAGAAGTATATTACAAAACAAAACCTAAGATCAAGCTAATCAGATCGTGTGCGTGTTGGCACTGTCATGTTGTTGATAACGTTAGTGACTGATACGTGTTCCACGTGGATATAAAACTATGTGGTCATCTTCATATACATTCCATACAACTCACGGATAAAATGGGTATTGACTCCCATACTTTTTACGTGTCTATGAGTATATAAAAATGCCTTTCTAAAGTACCTCTTAAAAACAATCAACCAGGATTTGTAAGCGACAGATATCGCAGTGAGAGTATGCTCAATAATCTTCTATTATAGAGAGAGACTTGTATCCAATATTAAGACATTAATATATTGATATTATACTTTTGAGCTAATTATATAAAAAAAAAAACCTTTTTTTCTCGTGGGTGTCGTGGGCGGTTAAAGAAATTTAATGGTAGAGGGATGGGTAGCAGCGTCCTTCTTAAAATTTCATCAAAATATCTTAAAATGTCACCAAAGGCATAACTGCGGTTGCCAATCTGCTTGCAAAGCGTGGCGACTACTGGCAAACCCTCACAATAGGGGAATATTTATGTTCAATAGTGATCAGTTAATGGCTGATATGATGATGAAGAAAACTGCCACCTCTTGTAAACATCATACACAGGTAATGTAGCTATCATCTGCAGAACATACTCCAATTATAGTTTACAATATCATCATCTCATCATCATCTTCCTACCCTTATCCCAATCATTTGGGGTCGGCGTAATATGATTTTATCCATATTACAAAAAGATTTGGTTTTTAGTTTTACGACCGGCCACCTGCCTGACGTCAACCCTCTTTGGGTTTACAATAATAATTATTAATTTTTTATGTAACTTAGAATGGGACACAAAGTCCCATTTCATGAAAAGTGATAATCTCCAGCTAATGCCAACCCATGATGATCCACATTCATACCACTACCTATTCCAAACTAAGATTTTATGCCTTCCTGTATTGTAATATCACTGCCATATTTCATGTTTCAAACCAGAATATATCCATGCAAGAATAGCTGCTTATTAGTGGCAGAAACACGACACATGTAAGTATGTTACATAGGTACCCAAGCAGACAACTTTGAAACTAAGAACCATTTAAGTAAATTCATTTTATAACTGTTTTACTTCTGTCTCTACCTTGACAAACATTACAGACACTTCTTAAAGTTACCTGAGGTGCCATTTTATGTGTTTTGTTAAACCAGTGATGATAAGGTATACCACAAGACATATGAAAATCAGTTATTTGCATTTCATTAATTAAAAAAATCATTAAATCAATAAAAAATATTAAATTTAAATCAATAAATACTTAGTTAATTAAATTTACTTATTTAATTTTATACATAGTTTATAATATTTACTATTCTACAGACTTGTAGTAAATAAAATAAAAAGTAAATATTGTATATCTTATCTACACATATAATTATCATGCTTAGAAAGATTTAATCTATTTTATAATTAAACAAATCTTTTACTATAAAAATTTTGCAAAGGAGTTTTAATAATTTAAACACACTCAATATAAGCATTAGGTTTACCCAATTCAGAAGTCAGGAACCTACCTATATTTAGTATAATTTTTACAATTTTTCCAAGAATATTATCAGAATATTATTAACAGGTGACTAATAATTAAAGTTCAAATCTAAAGAATAATATTTGTTTATATTATAAAATTTAAGTTCTTATCAAAATGTGGCATACGACTATATTATCTGTCAATTATTTAAAATAGTAAAAAAATAGGGTCGGTTCCGAAATCATTTTTCTATCTAAAATTAAAATTTCAATTTGATATCACATCAGAATCTTTATTCTAATGACCAGTATGAACTAAATTTTTAATAGATTTAAATCAAAAATATTATGACTTTAATTTATGATGGTTCATAAAATTGCAATTTTGCTAAATTATCAAATTATATTATAGGTTAAGAGATTATATATATGATGCCCCAGAATCAAGCCTAATTATATTTAACAACAAATAGCATTATGTGTTATTTACCAGTTACGCTTATTTTTTTTATGCAACTTAGAATGGCAAACAAGCTAACGGTCCACCAGATGGAAAGTGGTAACCGTCGCCTATAGACATGAGCAGTACCACGGTAACATAACAGAGTAGATATACTATTTCGCCCATGATACCCCCCCCCCCGCATTGCCATTCTTGAGGTCTCAGGTGTTATTCCTCTGTACCCTGTAAATTCACTGACGTATCCCACCCTTCAAACCGAAACACAGCTATGCAAACACAACTGCTTCACGGTAGAAATACAATTTTAAAGAGTTTATTTAGATTTTAAAGTTTACAAATGGATACTATTTATTAGTATATTCTAACAAATTTCAAATTTTCAATTATAGTTTAATAAAGATGGTATTATAATATTAACATTTTTATTCGTTGCATAAATATTTTTAAATTCTGTTTATGATGGAGATTGTTGTCACTTGGAATTGGTTTAGAATTCATCTTTATAAGTTAGCACAAATTATCTATATTTTATAATCTAGACATGTTAATGTATTATCAAAAGCATAAATCTTACATTAAGATAGGTAGGTTACTTGACCCATTTACTTTTTATATTATTATTCCAAAATATGTCAAATTTTAGAAGCTTATACTATCTAGGCGTATTTAAATACGTGATATTATGATAAGTATTCTTGTAATATAAACCTTTTTCATTGGAATAATAAATACTTAATCAAATCAGTAAAAAATATCATCATTGCCATTATATTCGCCGTTAACTGT